TTTTACTGATTTCGAACCAAAATTCCAAAATATGTTTTGTTTGTTTTGTGTCTTGAAAGACAGGGTTTGCAACCAAGAAATTTAGGTGATGACTCTCTGGTTAGGGTTATGGTTTGTTCAAGCCAAAAATAGTTCCCAAAAGCCTATGGCTCAGAGTGGCGATCTATAATTGTAGGTCACGTTATCCTCAAGTTTCATTCAACATAGTTAAGACGAGTCTGGTTGCTTAATTCTCAAGATTCTTCGAGATAGGTTCATGTGTTTATTTCTATGCCTTCTTCGATGTCTCAAGTTCATATGTGATTAATAGTATCTTGGGCTGTGAAAAAGATCAAGTTCGCGAGTTGATTTGAAGTTATCAGGACCAAAAGTCAATGTTTGCCTGTTTGAGTTCGAATGATCATAACGTCCTTATTGTTCAATATTTTTGAGCGATTCTTCGAGCATATGAATCTCCTTGACGTCAACTCCAACTTCTCTTTACAAGTCAAGAGCTAATGATGTGAGGAATAACTTTTCTTCATAAGGTTTCTCAAAATGACTTCAGCTGTTGCATCCTAAATTTTACCCCTAATTTTTTTAGTCGCATTATTATATCATAATTTGTCATTTGATCACAATCATTAATAAATATCTTCATTCATCACATTTGCATTATTTAGTCGTGTTTAGGTTGACCAAAAGTCAGTTTAAATCAACATTTTGCATCTCTTTTTAGTTAAAAAACACCTGATATTTCACTTCATGCATTTTTATCTCTTTACTTGTTCTTTGCATTCCTCCAAGTTGTTTATATGTCGATAATATTAATATTTCGGTTTTACAGATAGACTATTAAAAACGATTCAATACTGTGCGGAAAATTAGTGAGAAAAATATTCAAGTTTTCACCTTTTACTGATCATTTTATGAATCTACGTTTCACATAGATCATGACGGTATGCTCGCTTCATTTTTTCGGTACAGTTTGAAGTCTCGTTTTTAATCGTAAATGTTTGTTCAGCCTGATATTTTATTCTCATTTTATTTTGATTTTGATTATTTGAGTAATTTTTCATTAATCTTTAAGACAAATAGTTTATTTCAATGTGTTCATTTCATTTTTTCGGATAGATTTTTGTCCATTTTTTTTACCGTTTTTAGTCATTTTGGATCTCTATTTTTTTATTCAGAAAAATTTTATAAATATATTTTAAATTGAGTTAATTTTTATACTTTCAGATTTTTGCGTTGATTTTATCATTGAGAGTCATTTTGACCATTGTAAAAATTAGCTTAACCAATATTTTGTATATAAATAAGAGATAGCAATTGTATCGGAAGCTAGCGGAGAACAAAGCAGAAAATAAAATTCACAATCACAATGCAGAAGACCAAAAATTGAATTTTCTTCTTCCATTTGCCTTCTTCAAATTCTACAATCCAATTTCCAATTTCTTCTTTAGCTTCGACCATCTCTTTCTATTATCCATCATTTTCTTTGCATTTACATTCTCATATCTCCAACCAACAACACCTTGTTGTGTTTATTCACCCGAACCACTACAACTTTCTGTAACTCCTAATCTTCCAACCTCCCTCCAATTCACTGCAAATCTAGCCGCAAGCTTGCTTTCTCTTCATCGCTACTCACCATTCCACAAACCTCTATTACATATATCTCCATCCGCTGTTACGATCTCCGTTCAATTTCCTCCTTCGTCCATTCCACAAATCACCATACAAACTCCATCTTCTTCAATCTGCAACTGTTAACACCCTCCGCCGGAAACGTAAACTATTCCAATCTCCTTTCAATCTTCAACCGCCATACCTATACTCCCTATGTACATCAAAACAACAACATACTTTTCTTCTTTTTTATTATTTTTAAACGTTCTTTTTGTTTTTATTTAATTTCTATTTTGTTTATTTTATACATAAATTTTGATTTTTGTTGATTTAATTTTCTATCATTTTATTAATGGTTTAAATCATGAAAAAATAAGGAATAAATTGATACAACAATGTTAAATTTGAACATCTTTAAGATAGAAATTTTTTATATATAAGTTCACTAATTTGATGTGTTATAATTAATTATTATATTCGAAATTTAATATATGTTGAGTGAGTATATGATTAACAAAAATTTACTTTTTTCAATCAAAATTAAATATTGTCTTTCTATATCTATTTTAATACAAATTTAATTGAAATACACTAATGATATAAACAAATTTTACACCGTCAATTAATCAGAACTATTGATTTATTTAAAATGTTTGACCTTGTTTTAATTTCCTTTAAAGTAATAAAATTGAGTATCATAATATATTGATGGTGTAAAAAATTGTATGCTGAAGTGCATAACAATTAAACTCTTTAAATATTTATTTCGAGATAAATCAACTCCTTATCAAAAAAGAATGTTTTTGCATTATCTACAATTTAAAAGTAATAAAATAAATTTATTTTACTTAATTGAATTTTATTGAACCATTTAATTGCATGCATAGCTTCCCAGATAGATGTAAATGTCTCTATGAGATACTAATTATATATTGTTCATTTTTGAATTCATTATAGAATTTATTTTTGACTAAATTGTAGAATCTTTTTAACATTAAAGACTTAATATAAAGATATTTTTGACTATATTATTCATCTTAATGAACGTTCTTGTATGCATAGATTCACGGATAGATCATAGATCTACGAATAGACGTGAACATATCTATGAAATATCAGCGGTAAACTGTTTATTTTAATGTTCATATTTTAAATCTTTCTTTTGCTCTTTTTTTATATAATTGAAGTTAGAATTAAATGTATGATTTATTATAAATACGGATCAATGATTTTTTATAACTATGTGAATGTTAACCAATTGAAAAATGAATTCAAACTTTATAAATGATAATTTGATAGACGTGTAATGTAAATGCAGACGAGACTCATACAATAGCACGAATTTTTTACTAATAAATAAATTAAAATTTTAATCAAATTAATACATCATTTTCAAACACAAAATTTCTATATCCAACACAAACATTTTTTTATAAATTTTTTAAGATGTGTCGTTAGGATACAAATTATCATTATCAAAATAATAAAGATAAAAATAAAAGAAAAATGATACGTTATACACTAAAACACTATTTAAATATGAAAAATAAACTATAAATTAATAAAATAAACTATTAATTAATAGTGAAAAATTATTATTAAACAAATTTTTATTATCATATAAATTTATAAACTATAAATTACAAATTAAAAATATGCTACGCTTATTTGAACATGGTAACTACATTTTTTTTCAATCGACAATAATAATTTTTTTTTGAGATTTTGAGCGAGATTGAAAGTGATGATGTAAAAAAAAATTCTTACAAATCTATTTCATAAAAAAAGTCAAAAACTAAAATAAATGCTTTTAAATAATTGAATACCAATAAATTTTGTTGTTTTGGAAAAACTTTTATTTTTTAATTAAATAAACAAGATTTATTTATTTTATAAAAAATGTTAATTGAATAAAATAAAAATTTAATGAGTATCAAAATATTTTCTCAATTTTTAAAATTTTGAAAAGGTTCAATAAATTTTCGATTAAAAAAGAGTAAGAGAAAAAGATAATAAATAAATTATAAGATTTGAATAAAGTAAATTAAAATTGACTGAAAATTCAATGGTTTTTGTCTTAAAAATATAATAAAGTAAATATAATTTCATGTTATTTTAAATATAATTTTATCACTTATAATCTTTCGTAGAATAATATATTGACATTCACATATTTGTTTTTGAATAATTAATTATAATAATTATTTTAGTGAATTGATAATGATAAAAACCAATAGATTTGACAGAAAATTTATCAAAAACTAATTAGTATTTTAGAAGAATTTATTATTTTTAATTATCAGAAGTGTAATATTTGTTTACAAAATAATAATTAAAAATCAATAAAAATACTTAATAAAATAATAACCATTTATTTTAAATAATAATAATAATAATATTCAATTGAAATTAATAATAATAATAATAATAATAATAATAATATTATTATAATAATAATAATAATAACACAATATCAATAAAAAGAAGGAGAATACTTAGATACAATTTCATAAGCATGGTTCATACTTTTCTCCAATAAAAATATGACAAATATACTTAAATAATATATTATCTTTTAAAGACTAAAAATATGAAGAAATTGCATATGTATAAAAGGAAATTATATACTTGTTATATTTTCATTGAAAAAAATATAAATCACACTTAAGAAAATACATTTAAGTTTTTTTCTTTGTTTTATTTGTTGATTCATAGGTGTTTTCTATTCCATTCAATGATTTTATTCGATATTTTCTTTTTAGGACAAAATTTAGATACAATTCATTAGATGTAATTTTTATTATTTTCTAATAAAAATATGATAAATATATTTAAATATTATTTAAAGAGTAAAAATAGAAATAATTTATATATGTAAGAGGAAATTACACACTTATCATATTTATTAATTTTTTTCATATTTGTTTTAGAAGAATACTTAGATATTATTGAAAAATAGTAAGAACCGTTTTAGATTTGATTACTTTAAAAAGAAATCTTAATTATATTAATTAAATAAAATATTATAAACTTATTTTATATTGTATGATTTTTTAAATTAAATAAAAAAATTTTAATCATAAAAAAAACTTATAAAATTTCAATTCAATATATCAATATATAATACCGTTTGAAGTAAAAATATGATTAGCAACGTTCTACCGATTTAACCTCGATCAATACTATTCCCTCCTTGGCTACTTTATTTACAAAACAGAACCGAACCGAACCAACGCTCCTTCACTCCACCTCGATTTATTACAAAAATTGATTTATATTAACAATTTCCATTTCCGTGTGTGTGAGAGTGCCAATTTGAACTGTCAATCCTTTCGCGCACCACAACTCAATTTCAAAACCCTACTCATCCCAATTCGATTCTCCAACCAATGTCGCCGGCGCCGATCAACTCCTCCGATACAACTCCACATACTCCTATTCACTTCGCTCCTTTCAATGCCGACTCCGTCAAACCTCCTGCCTCCGCCGCACGTGCAAGGTCACGGCCGAGACTGGCGAAACTGAGGAAGCAATCAGCGTCTCAGACCACAAGGTCGAGGAGCGGAACCACCGCATCTGCAGTCACCGGTTTCAATCCTTTTCGCTCTGATCAGGTATGTAGTGGTTCCGGTACTTGTGACGCCGGTTTCAATTCCTTGAACGGTCATAGCGAGGGTTTTGTTTTTGGTGCTAGGAAGGTTGATTCTGATTCTGTTAGGGATTTGAATTCCGAGGAGAAAGAAACAGAGGTTAGGAAAAGTGGGAGTGTGGAGTTTGTGTTTAATGCTGACGAACTTTATGCTAAATTGGATTCATTTTTTGATGGAGAGGTAAAGAGTAGTGAGAATGAGGGGAAGAATGTTTCTGGTGAGGAAAGGGAGATATTAAATTCGGAACGGGAGAAGGGGGAGGTTAATGTTACAGGGTTCGTTTTTAGTGCTGGTAGAGGCGATAATCCTTCTAATTTTAATACAGAAAAGGGAAAGGGAAAACCTAGTGTACCTGTGGGGAATTCGGAGTTTGATGATGGTGGGGAGAGGGAATGTAAAAATGAATTTGTGTTTGGAATGAAGGATTCTTCTGGGGACAAGAATAGAGGTGTTAGAATGTCTAGTTTTAATGTAGAAAAGCAGGAATCTGTTGATAGCATGAGAAATTCGGATAATGGAAGCTGTATTTTTCATGCTGAGACAGAAACATACAGTAATTTTGGTAATGATGCTGATAAGCATGGTAATCTGGGTAATGATGTTAAGTCTAAGAGTGGAAATGGAAGTACTAATGGTATTTCTTCTACTTATAATGACATTCATGTAAGTCAAGTAGTAGATGAGATTAATAAGCTGAACATCAACCGTCCTGAGGGCATCCATATTCCTAGTGATTCGACAAATTCACATGTACATAGTAGCAATGGTTTTGTGTTTGGAGGAAGTGACAATGTTTCTAGCTGTTTCAGTGTTAGTTCAGGATCTAATGCTGGAAGTCAACAGTTGCATACTAATGACAATTTTGGTGGGCAATATACTGAAGATGGCAGAACAAGTGATGTTCAAAATGGCACTGTTCATGGTATCACCCGGGATGCTGCAGCCGCTGGAATACCTTGTTCTAAGACATCCACTAGTCAGGACGGGACCAACAATTTCCAATGTGGCAAAATTCCAGATTTTCAAGCATCTGAAGATGCCCAAGTGAATGGAGCTGAACAGTCTTATACGGACTTTAAACCCCCGACATGGGATCCTTCTAGTTTTAAAGAAAACTTATTTTGTAAGTTAAATGAAAAATTTGAATCCACACAAAAGAGTAAATCTTCCAAAGAAAAAGGATCAAAATGTCCGAGGCAAAAATTGAAGTCACGTTCCTTGAATAAGAAACAGACAAAGCAAGACCATTTGCCAAAGGAAACCTGTTCACTTGAAACCCCTGAGTCTTCTGGCGGCTTCTCCCCAATGGATTTTTCTCCCTATCAGGAAGCATCCGCAGATGATCAAGATGTAAAGGCTTCAGAAGAATTCAATATTCTTCACTCAACAATTCCTACCGATTTAAAAGACGAATGCCCGGCTGCTATAGGAAGAGAATATATCAACTCAGATGGTCAGATATGTAGAGATCTTAGTAATGACGAGTCCTGTTATGGAGGTTCTTCTGTAGGTGATGTTCCTTCTTCTGACCCCGAAATAATCTGGCCTAAGATGCAAACTGAAGCGTTCAGTAGCAGTAGTTCTGCCGGTGTTTCTACAGATGCTGGGATTGACTTCACCTCTAAATCTGAAAAGAAAAAGTCTGATATATTTTGTTTTGATAATGGTCTGGGTGATTTGAAGGAGAAAGATTTTTCATTTTCGGCAGGGTCCACTGTAGAGATTACTTCATTATTTAAGCCTAAACAGAAGAAGAAATTTAGGAGGAAAGTGGCTCGTGACTCATTTGTTATCTCTCCAAGTGTTAATGGAAAATCTGTATCTTATGTACAATTTCCACCACTTACTACTGCCAACATGTCAGCACATTCTGATGTGACAGACAGGTCTCACATGAATAATCAGTTCGAGGAAGAAGGCGATACGTCATCAGATACAATTCAAGCTGCCTGTTACCAATGGAGACTCAGGTTCTGACCATGAAAAATCCCGTTCTTTCAAATATATTTTAATTGTATTTTTTAATATTTAGCTACGTTGATTTCTGTAAGATGTTTTTGTAGTCGAGTTATTTTTACGAGCTTCCTTTATTTTATCTAGGGGGAACCGTGCTCATAAAGCTAAGGATCTTTCTAAAGCTGAGGAATGCTACACACAAGGAATAGTTTCTGTCCCTTCCAATAAAAGATCAGGATCCTGTATGAAGCCTCTTTTACTCTGCTATAGCAACCGTGCAGCAACACGTATGGCTCTTGGAAGGATTAGAGAAGCTCTAGAGGATTGCATGGTAGCATCTTCTTTGGACCCCACCTTTCTGAAAGTACAGATTAGAGCTGCTAAGTAAGGGTTTTGTTTGTAATTGTATAATTTCAAAATTCAAAATAGTGTTTTTTCTTCTTGTACATAATGGCATGTGGTTTGCCTCTCCAGCTGCCACCTTTTGCTAGGGGAAGTAGAAAGTGCTCAGCGATGCTATAACAAGTGCTTGGAATCAGGTAAAGTTGTGTGTTTGGATCGGAGAGTAACAGTTGAAGCAGCTGAAGGTTTACAAAAAGCTCAGGTTTTCCAATGATTCTTTTTTGTGATTAATTAGCATTACTGTAAATTTTTTTATGATAATTCTTTTTTTTTTATTTAATTTTTTCAATTTGCATGACTGTTTCTTTTCTTGAAGCTTAATATCATGATCTGTTATTTATCATAGTTATGGATCTTCACAAGTCTCTGTTTTATCGGTGTTAATTATTAGTAAAGGGGTAGGGGCGAGCTCTATATATAGGAATTGCAAAGGAATCAGTAGGCGCTTACGGATAACTCAGAATTTGGTAGACACTCTCGGTTCTTCCCAGAGTTGCACGTGAAGAATTCTCAATTTCTTGTTTTTTTCCTTCAATTTTTCCCTTATACCAGTTTGTTCCCATCAAATGATCTAGGAAAACTTCCCTTGTAAGAAATTTTATGGCAGCTACTGGATTAAAAAAAACATTGGAGTCTGCATATGATAGGACCCGAGACGAGAAGATTGATTTGGGGTGTCTAAGTAATATGAATATTTTATTGTTATTTTAGTAGCAAATTATAATAAAATATTCATATTACTTAGACACCCCAAATCAATCTTCTCATCTAGGGTCCTATCAACATATATGTGGTTTAACATAATCTTTCACCTTGGGGACAAAGGTGAATGTTTAGGGGGAGCATATTAATAGGTCTGTTACTGTTAGTTAAAATGCTAGTTAATTGTCTGTTTACTTAGATGAAATAATTAAGGCATGTTGCCTATAAATAGGGAGGAAGGATTTAGACTAGAAAGTAGGCATCCTGTCATCTGAAAGTAGTAGGGACTTATGTACTGGGAGGTAGGTAGGTAGACTCTTAAAGTGCTGTCATTATTCTGTAATCACAGGGAATTCTTCCCTAGATTCTAGCAATGACATTCAGCTTCTATCATATTACCAACACTGGATCTATTATTAGTCTGTCCCACAGCATTTGCTCTTAAATTCTGCTCTTCTTTCTTATTTTGTTTGCTCTCATAAGGTACATCTACATTTTAGAAATGTCTAATAATTGTTATCCTCATTAACAGGAAGTGGCAAAGTGTATGAATGATGCTGCTAAACTTTTGAAGGAGAGGACTTCTGAGGCAGGTGGTTCTGCTTTAGAACTACTTACAAAGGCATTGTCAAAGAGTTTATACTCAGAAAGATTGCTCCAAATGAAGGCCGATGCTCTCTATCTGGTATTTTCTAATCCAGTTCTTTGCTCTCTTCATCTTAATGTTTTCCTAATTTTTTTTTTGTTATTGTTGTTGTTTTGTTAAAACAATTTGTATAATATTGCTGATAAAAGTTGCTGTTTATTTATGGTGACAACTTGCAGCTGCAAAAATATGATGCAGCAATTCAGCTTTGCGACCAGAGTCTGAGTCTTGCAGAAAAGAATTTTGCCTTGGCAAACAGTGCGAACAATTCCATGGATGGTAGTTACTTAAGTGTAAAAATGTGGAGATGGTCATTTATATCTAAGTGTTACTTTCGTTTGGGGAGGCTTGATGCATCACTTAATGTTATTGAAAAATTACAGAAAACAGCATCTGTCAATGACAAGTAATTCAATCTTTTATCATGCAAGGCTGATTTTCAATTTTCCATTTCAATCTAGATACATTTTATTTTTTCAACTACTAGAGATGCCTTATGCTCATTTCAATCATGTAGGTGTATGATTGATAACCTTGAAGACTTGCTGTCATTAGCTGCTACAATACAAGAACTTCTAGATCACAGGGTAATTGTTAGATGTCCATCTTCCTAAATGTATTCAAGATTGCAAATGGAAGTTATTTAAACGTCTTGGCGGGCCTCAGGTTTAGAGGCTTATAAGGCGTGCTGCATACTCTGGATTCTAGATTTCTTCCATGTTCTTATGAAATATTACTATTGAATATTCCTTTTCTTAATTATGACAGAGTCTCTATATTAGAAAAGATAACCAAATGAAGTTTCATTTTGTAGTTCTCTGTTGGAAAATTATTTTACTACTGGAGAAGTGGAAATGTTTCTTATTATTCTGTTTTATAATTTGATATGACAAATACAGTAATTTTAGCTTCTGAATCCCAATAGTTCAGATCTGTACATGAGCAATAAGTATGTTAGCTTCAGTCTCTTTTTCGAATCATTTATAGATTTGTACCGTTTTCAGGTAATTACTAGTATTATTCCTATTATTTGTATATTGGTCCTTATCCTTATTATTATTATTATTCTCAACAGAAAGCAGGAAATGAGAACTTCAAATTGGGAAAGTATACAGAAGCAGTGGAGAACTACACTGCTGCTTTATCTAGTAATATTAAATCACGCCCTTTTGCAGCAATATGTTTTGGCAACCGTGCTGCTGCACATCAAGCTTCAGGCCAAATTGCTGATGCCATTGCAGACTGCAGCATGGCTATGGCCCTTGATGGAAATTATGCAAAGGTATTTCTTTCTTGAAGCCTCTTCGCTCATTTAAAGACCTGATTGCATCTTTGAATTTTGTTCTTAGATGCCTGCTTTACGTATAAAAAAAGCAATTTGAAATACTGACAGAAATATTTGATTGATGTTTCATCGAATATGATAAATTTTGGTTTCTAATTTATTAAGTAGGAACTTATGGGATTTGGGAATCTAATTGGTCTAGTTTTGCAGGCAATTTCTAGAAGAGCCACCTTGCATGAGATGGTTAGAGACTATGAACAAGCGGCTTGTGATATCCGGAGACTTATTTCTGTTCTTGGATCTCAATCCAATGAAAAGGCCAAAAATTTTGAATCTCCAAATGGATCAACTGGTGGCAAAGAATCAAGGCAAGCTCAACAGCGTCTGCTTACTGTGGAAGATCAAGCCAAAATGAGGACCCCCTTGGACTTTTATCTCATCTTGTAAGTTCTTTATTCAGTTGGGGGTTAATTTCCTCTATATATCTTATCTAGATACCTCAATTGAAGTTGTATGGACAATTTCACAAATTTAATGTGTCAGAATCCCCTGTGGCTGCCACTCTGGGGTTTATCTATAGCAGTGATGGCATAACTTTTGTGACTACAATTTAGAAAGATGAGAAAAACTAGGAAGTATTCTAAGTTGCTGTTATACCTCAAATTATGTTATTGGTATAACTGTATGTATCAAAAGTTTAAATGGGGAAATGTATAATGTCTAAGTGGCCTTTCATGCCTAGCGTCGGAGGAAAAGTCTCCCTTAAGTTGAGAACCTCAGCGGATGGCAGAATTTTTGTGACTATACAACTTAGAAAGATGAGAAAAAATAGGAAGTGTTCAAGTTGTTGTAACTTGTAACCTCAAATTAAATTATTTGCATAACTGCATATCAAGTTTAAACGGGGAAATGACTAAGTGGCCCTTCTGGCTTAAAGCTGAAGGAAAACTCTCCCTTAAGTTGACTGTTGATTTCCCTTTTGTTCTTACAGAAGTTTTAGAGGAGAGATTAATCCATTTTTATGCCAAAGCATGCCACAACCCACAAGGCTCAACGAAGACTTGCTGTGGTATTTATAGATTACCTATCATCAATGTAGGACAATTTGCATGAAATAAACCCAAGACCATGGCATTGCCTTGGATGCTAGCATGTGCATGATAGAAACTGGTTCAGATTGTCCTGAAAAAATGTAGTCCCTCTAATATTTCCCTTATAATACAGTAATATTTTCATATAACCACTGATGCCAGTTTGATATCAGCAGTCATATAGATGAATTATCAATGGGACAGAGCAAAAAGTTACTTGGGCTTTTGAGGCACCATGATATCTCCTGTGTATGCTGCAGTTAGCCCCTGCCTCCTGCCCTCCCCCTCTACTCTATTCTCAGTTAGATTTCTCCGCAGCTTTACTGTAGAATTTTCCCCTTGATACAAATTCCCCTGCCGACGTGGAACTTTGATCCCTGCAATTCTACATCTACACCCTCACAATATAACGCTTCTAAGAAGTACTCCTCGCTTCCACCTGCTCCCAATGTTTTCTCCTTGTTTCCTGTGTGAAATGTAGGAAAACTAGTCCTGTGTGAAAGTCATGGATTTCCATGAACTTTCTTAATTAGGAAGTGCTTTCCATTTGATAAGTATACCGGAAGCTCCTTCTAAATTGCTAAATTGGTTGGTAGCTGAGAATCTCTAGTGGTTGAACTCAGCTCCCTGTCCTCAAACTGAACTGGTTGTAAGGGATTACTCACAGTTTGGTAGAGATAAATTTCTTAAACATTGGCACCAGAAGTAGCAGGTAAGGGCTGCTGCAGCAGGTAAGTCAGCCCGTGTGCAATTTGTCCAAATTCCAATGCGCTGTGAGATTTTATATGGTTCCTGATACCTAGTCCTATGTTTTTCTTTCATTCTCCTTGTCACAGATACATCTTCTGGATTGAAGCTAGAGATATACAAACTCTGTTGGCTTACAAACAACCTTCCTTCTGTTTTGATCAGTCTGCACCTTGACCCTGTTCTAGGCTCGTACCCATGACCCTTCCGTTGGAATTTCCGCCTTAATTACGGTCCGTCCCTAGTCACCTTAATCGCGGCATTTGGCTTGCCTTCATTGCAGCCCCCAACTTTCATTGTGGTGGGTTTGAAGGGGGTGGATTTAGTCCCGCATTGCTTAGAGATATGACCTGTGTTGTGTTTATAAGTGGGAATTGTAATAGTTGACACTACCTATTTTCAGTTCAGCGAGGCTGTTTAGGCTACTGTTTCGGCCTTGTACCGGCACGACAGTAAGTGAATTTCAAGGTATTTATTATCCACCTCAAATTTGTTGAAGTAGCGGGTTAGACTAGGAGAACCATTTAGGACACAAGTAGGAGTAGGCCAATTCATCTTATTAGAATATGATATACCATCCCATATAACAATTATTGAATTAGGAGAGACTAAGAGACATTTAGGTTAAACTGTGTGTATTTGAAAAGCACTACGGAGACTTTATTATATATAGAGAGATTACAATTAATTACATGATACAATCGATGTGGGACTATTCTATACACAAATATTCTAACACTATATTTACATATATCAACACTCCCCCTCAAGCTGGAGCATATAAGTCAAATGCACCAAGCTTGTCACATATATAATTAGTTCTGAGACTTCGTAGAGATTTTGTGAATTCATCTGTCAATTGATCATTAGAGTTGACAAAGTTTGTGACGATGTCGCTAGATTCGATCTTCTCTCTTACAAAGTGACTGTCTATCTCAATATGTTTGGTCCTCTCATGAAAGACTGAATTTGAAGTAATGTGCAATGCAGTTTGATTATCACATACAAGTGTTATTGGTCTTGCTTCTTCAATTTGAAGTTCTTTGAGCAACTGTTTTAACCAAACGAGTTCACACGTTGTCATTGCCATGACCCTATACTCTGCCTCGGCGCTTGATCTTGCAACTACATTTTGTTTTTTACTTTTCCAGGATATAAGGTTTCCTCCAACAAGTACACAATACCCAGAGGCGGATCATCTATCAATTGGTGACTCTATCCAACCAGCATCGGAGTATCCAACTATCTGAGTATGTCCTTTATTTTCACACACTAAACCTTTTCCTGGAGCACATTTGATGTATCTCAAAATCCGGATAACAACATCCATGTGTTCCTGACAAGGGGAATTTAGGAACTGGCTTACCACACTGACTGCAAAAGAAATGTATGGACGAGTGACTGTGAGATAATTCAACTTTCCAACCAATCTCCTATACCTTCCCGAGTCTGATAGAGGCTCCCCCTGATTGGGTAATAATTTGACACTTGGATCCATAGGAGTATTTAACGTTCAACAAATCTGTTTCTTTCAAAATATCCATAGCATATTTCTGCTGAGAAGTCACCAAATCAACTTTAGATTGGGCTACCTCAATACCCAAGAAATACCGGAGTTTACCAAGATCTTTTGTCTGAAATTGATTCGAGAGATGTTGTTTCAACTGGAGTATTCCCTGCTCATCACTACCAGTTATGACAATATCATCTACACACACAATAAGATAAATACACCCTTGGACTGAGTGACGATAAAAGACAGAATGATCAGCTTCACTATGGACCATACCAAATTGTTGTACTACAGTGTTGAATCTGCCAAAACAAGTTCTTGGAGATTGCTTAAGACCATGAAAAGACCTGTGTAGCCTACAAACCATATTCGATGACTTCCTCTGAGCAACAAATCCAGGTGGTTGCTCCATATATACTTCCTCTTCAAGATCACCATGTAAAAATGCATTTTTGATGTCAAGTTGATGAAGAGGCCAATGTCGAATGGCTGTAATGGCTAGAAGAAGTCTAACAAATGTCATCTTGGCTACAAGCGAGAAGGTATCACTATAATCCAACCCTAAAATCTGAGTGTATCCTTTGGCTACCAAGCGAGCTTTAAATCGATCAATCTTACCATCTGGATCAACTTTCACTGTATTAAGCAAACGACAACCTACTAAAGATTTTCCAGGGGGTAGAGGAACCAGTTCCCAGATACCACTGCTTTGAAGAGCACACATTTCATCAATCATTGCTTGCCTCCACTCAGGGTGAGATAACTTCTGCCAATGGTTCTCAAACCCGATACGAAGGAATTGGCACTGTTCAAATTCTACCTTCTCGCTCTGATACCATGTTAAGAAATGTGATTGAGCCTAACTCAACCCTACAAAACCGGCTTGTAAGGTGAGGATTGCCCCCACTTATAAGGACATGTTCAGATCATATATTATCCAATGTGGGACTCTTAACACACCCCCTCACGCCCAGGACTGAACATCTGAAACGTGGAAGTAAATGGTGGGTGGACCAATAGCGGAAACCTGATAGCAGGTGGCCCAACGGATCTTAAACGAGGCCCTGATACCATATTGAATTAGGTGAGACTAAGAGACATTTAGGTTAAACCGTATGTATTCGAAAAGCACTACGGAGACTTTATTATATATAGAGAGATTACAACTAATTACATGATATAATCGATGTGAGACTATTCTATATACAAATATTCTTAACACTATATTTAGAAATATCAACAACAACTTTGTTGTATCATATTTCTTGAGGATAAAATTGCACAAGGAAGAAACCATTCATTGCTTCATTTTTACTAATTTAAAGCTTCTAATTTTAAATTATGTTCTTTTCCATATCTACAACACCAGAGGTATTAAACCAGCTGATACAGCAGCTGATATCAAGAAGGCATATCACAAGGCCGCTCTCAGACATCACCCTGACAAGGTTTGAGCCTTTCTATGTCTGCATTAAGTTATCTTAGTTTACCTATTTCTTTTCACTATTTTCTTTTGGTATAAGGGTAACCATATTTGTAGTTTTCAAAACTTATGCAAGGTAATTTATTTGTTTGGCTTGAATCTAGGCTGGTCAGTTGTTGGCAAGAAGTGAAGTTGGGGATGAAGGTCTTTTCTGGAAAGAAATTTCCCAGGAGGTGCACAAGGATGCTGATAGACTTTTCAAAATGATTGGAGAGGCATATGCTGTACTTTCAGACCCTGCCAAGGTTGTATGCAAAAAAATTACTGTTAATTCCTCTGAATGCACTGTTGATTTAAGTTTGAAAATGCGAGCTGGGTGAGCAAGATATAGATGATAAATAATAATTGAATGGCTTGTAGGCAGTCTATGTAGCAATAACATGCTCAACTAAAATGCTCAAGTTCACTCATATCTTAAAAACTCTAATTTTCAAGTTCATGTCACATGCTACTAGCTCTGTGCAAACAAAGCTGACCCAATTAGTTGATAAGTAGGTCCTTTAAAGTTGTACGAATTTAAAGGTAAACTAGTTTTCTAAACTTATATTGTCCATTGTAGTTTTGTTCTTTTATTTTAGTATAAGGTGTACGGAAATTTTGTTGTGACTTATGATTCATAAATCATAACAAGTTATGATATTTTCTGTTTTCGGCAAGACATATAATGGGCTTCGTTAATTTTGGCGGCTTTGTCTATTGGGAAAACCAGAATTTTGTATGAAATATACTAGAGTTTTCTCCTTTGTTTTGCATTTTTCTTCTTAGTCTGGGAAGTTTGAAGTTTAGACTAGTTCAGTTTCTTAATTTTTATCAAGGGTCATTATTAATAATTAATAAAAAATCTGACAAGTTTTTCTTTCATTTATCACAGCGCGCGGACTATGATATGGAAGAGGACATAAGGAAACTTTATAAACAAAGTAACAAAGGTGGCGCATGCAGGAGATCTTCAGACGTTTATGGAAATGGAAGATCATCTGATAGTTATAGATCTTCCTATGACAGAACTTATAACAGACGATATGGACATTGGAGCACATATGGAGATTCCTATTCTCGATGGTAAGAGCTTACCTAGACAAAGGGCATCTGTGTTCCTTGTCTGGTCGGAATATAAATGACATCTCTTCCCATTCTTGATAGACCCAAGTTTCATGATGGTGTGAAAAAAGGCTTAAAACTGCTTTTGCAGGTAACCAACAATGACTCCTTTTCTTGGTTCGGTTGAAATTGACTTTGGTCATGACCAAACTTTCCTTTATCTTTTAGTCTGAATTAGCCACCAGGCCACTGCTGCTATATTCTTTTGGTCTGACTCAGACCATTGCAAAAATAAGATTGCACGTAGAGATTGCAAGCATGAGCTATAAGTAACAAAAAAAAAAAAAAAGAAACAAAGGAAAGGAGTTAAGAACTGGCCTCACCATCAATCCGATGTGTGCTCCACTAACTTTACCGATAGCAAGGACTTGATACTTCATACCTATCTGTTTATTGTTGGACGATCTCTTCTGAAAGGGAAGGGGGTTATTTATACGGAAAGTCTGGCAAATACTCTGTTGTATTCACATAGTTTCTCAAATGTAATAGATGTTTTAGAAATTGTGTATCTGGATTGAGAACCTTAATGGGAAGCAATGTATTGCACGTGGAAATCAATTTATATGCTTATTTACACATCATTTTCTGATGATGATCTTGCACAACTTTGTAGAGCTCATAATGAAAGTGCAAGCCACTCGCCATGGATGACTCCCTCAAGAATGGTATATTAGAGGGGATTATAATTAATGAAGAATAAATGTGCAATATTTGTATTCACCACCACACCTTACCAACTCCAATGTGTTAACTGTTGTGTCTCATGGCTTACCAGAAACCGTGTCCTTTGTAAAAAGTGTCAATGATGTTGAGTGATTCTTGATAAATTATTCACTGTTTGTTTTTCTTTAGTGTTATCCATTTAACATTGAAAAATAACATACATCAAAGGCCATTTAAGATAAACTTGATGAAATAAGTAAAAGAAGCATATCAATTTTTTAGGGAGGGTGTTCGGGTGTGTTCAAGTTTAAGATGATTTCCTGATCAGAGATGTTTGCAAACAAACCAGGACCAATTTACAACCAAACACAACTAGAAACACTGATGCCCTAAAGAAGAAAAAAAAGGACATCACTTCATCCACTTTATGGGGTATTAGTTTCCCAGAGTGAAAAGTCACAATACTTCAAGATTTTGAAGATGTATCTCCGAAGCTTTCAATTTAAAGACTCCTATATTTTTTTGAGTGAGTCATTCCATGTTGCTCAAGTATATTTTCGAAGATGCATCTTTCTATCCATATTATAATTATTTTAAAGATGCATATCCGTAAAGACTCTTATTTTAAAACTCAATGAGTTTTATGAAAATACATCTTTGCAATACACTCTGTAAGCTTAAATCACAATTCAATAACAGATTGACACAAAAACTTGAAGACAAATTATAACACAAATATGTAAGATAAATTTAACATTACATTTCATAGATAATCATAACATAAATATGTAACATAAATTTAACATTATATTTTATCATGATGTTGCAATATCATTATGATATATTCGGTCGTTCTTGTAATTATCGTATCCACTCCAATCAGACTATTTGTTTTGTAACAGTAAAATGTACTCCACGCAACCCTTAAATATTTATCTGTCTTCAGCTCTAACTTGTTGTACTGAATCTTTCATTCATTGTCAATCAAGAGTGAACGGTATGTGAGTTTCATAATTCTTCGATTGTCTGAGTATCGTAGGAGATTCTCTAGTACGAATTTCAGATTTACAAGAGAGGTGTACCCTGTGACTTTAAATTCAAGTGATAGATTCACGTCGTTGAAGTAGACCAATGTGGCACATGTCAATATATGTTTATTTTGGTGTGGTGTATTTTTGTGAACAACGTGTTCATTCTCCGGAAACTCCTAATTTTTATATAGAATTGGCTTTTATGCAGAACATGTGTTATGAGCTTGAAAAAGATTTTTTTATTTATAAAATTAACCCCAATTGTTATACAATTAATGTTGACTATACATTATATATGTATCAAATGGTGTCAACAGAACATACATTGTTAGATAAAAATTAAAAAACATCAAAACATGTCACCACATAAATCTATTTCTATGGGTGGTGCCGCCTTTGACTTTTTCTTATTTGTTTCTCTTTCAATCTCGCTCAACTTGGTGAACTCTTTCATCCTTTTTAGAAAGTGATTAGACCAAATTTCAGTCTCTTTTGTGAAATCTGTCACCCACTCAAGTGATGTCTTGGGTACAAGACACCATAGTTTCAAATAAATTTGAATATAATATTATATTTTTGAAAGTCACTCAATACACATGACACATCTAGAAGAATTTTGAAAAGACCTACTCCAAAGTAGAAAAAATATTTATGAGAAATCATATCTTGTTAAATCAATACACACCCTAACATAAGCACTTTCTAAAAGTTGACACATGGGAAACACATCCATTATACAAATGGTGCCAACCCACTAACACATGGAACAAGAGCGTTGAGAATTGCATTGTAATGTTTTTTTTTCGTATATGAATGTGCACGATTCTCTATACGTTGTCAACTCTTGTATAAGCTGATGGCAGAAAAATGGCAGAAAAATGTGTTGTTCTCATCTCCTTTACCGAGTAAATCCGAAACAAATCAAAAACCATAATTGCCATCACCTTTAACATCTATAATCCACTAAATGTATATGTGCATACAAAAGCGACATCTCTTCAATGTGGATGACTTTTGGTAACAACGATGAGGGGGATAGTCTGCTAATCTGAACTCCCTTTAATTTTTTTTTAGATTTCGGAGTTGGAGAATCTAGAAAATGTGAGTCAACATGTTCAAAGTAAGAAGAAGACCAATTTGTAGAATTGCCACTCTCGGGAGGTTTGAAATTTTTAGGGGCCTCCGTCATTTTAACCGGTTTAGAGAGTGGTTTCAAATCCGTAGTTTCAGGATAAACAATCTTCCTCAACTGCTCTTTGTTGTGAAATTTCATGTTCTCATCATTTTTCATGAATTTCTCTTGGATCACTTCTCACTCGGTCATGATAGATATGTTTGATTTATCATCCTTCATCACACCATCATCCTCAAACCGAATATTTTTCTAGTGAGTGTAAATCTCATCCATACATATTAGTGTATTGACCTTTATTTTATTTGCAATTAAATAAGCACATGGAAGACAATTCGTCTTCCTAAGTGTACAACTACACTTTGAACCATCAGTTCCTGTTTTCTCAGCTCGGTTGACTTTGTGATAAATAAAATTTAATTCCACACGAGAGATATTGTCAACCAATTGTGAATAAAGAATGTTATCTTTGAATCAGTGTTCTAATACACTAATTCTCTGACCAAAAAATATTTGTATCTCATTATGTTGATTTAAGATCGCTTGGTTCACCGTGTTCCAACCTTTACAAAAATCATCTTTACTATTTCGCAACCAATTCTTCAGTGTATCATGTGCAAATTCAACTCTGTTAGTTGTTGTATTTCCAAAGTGTCTAACTTGACCGGTCCAAGCACATAGAATTTTCTCCTTCATCTGGTCTAGAATTATGCTCTCAACATATTTCAAAAAATCTAAATATCTTGCACACACCCTCTTAAAGTGTATGACATATTCTGCATATAACTCTTTCGGGTAAGAATTTATAACACCATTCAAGGCATCCATCATTCTTTCCACAACCGCACAAGCTTTAACCATTTTCCCATCTTGACCTTTTATTTGTTTGGCCCCTACTGCAAGTTTAAATGTGCTTCCCATGTTTTTGGTTATGTAATACCTACAAAGTAATGCATATGATGTAGGAAACACCTTTGCAACCAAATTCATCAATGCAGTATCGCGATCAATTACAATGACCCTCGACATATTTCCCCGGTCCTTCAACGTAGTGTTGCAAAAAACCACAGAAAAATCATCTTCATCGAAGTAACACCAATAATTTTCAGAAGTGGAAGCATATACTTGTTTGTTATGTATGTTGAATCAATTATAATCACACTGGAAAACATGTTGAACAACTTAATACAATCACGATGAATCTGAAATATATCTCGAACTGTGACTTCATTCTCACACACTATATACCTAGAAACATGGTGATCATCATCGATAAGCTTCAATAGACGTTGCATTTCAGTTCTTGGTCCTCTTATTGCCTTGTTGTTTACAGTATAAACATTGCATATTTTCTTGATATTTGAGATATTTTGAGGTCTTTTCTGTTTCAACGTTTCAAGTATGTTTTTAGGCGGGAAAATATTCAATATCATGTCAGAAACAAGTACCTTATCCTTAATATTAAGGCTACATACAAAGGGATGATCGACAATTTGTGATAAAAGTAATGATTATGTATACCATAAACCACATCAAATTTCCATGCACTATTCACTTTACAATATCTGTGAACCTTAAAAGGATAATCACATTTTCTTGATCCGGTGTCATCCTATTTTAACTTCCAAATATGTTGTTGGCACATGTCACTTCTTTCGCATTTCATTGTTACAAATGGTTGATTTCTATTAGAGGCATTATCAGACCTCCCAATTACAATACCAAACCCAAGTTTGGTGGCCTAAATGCAGATCCTTTGGAGCATATGTTCACACTCAATAAACTTCTGTTTAGTTGTAAATTTATCATGAATATCTACCTGGGCAACAAACATTTTAGCATCCATCTCGATATCAACCAGTTTAACATCATTTTTGACATCACCCGACTTAACATCATCATCCATTTCACTCGACTTAACATCCACAAACATAGTACCTTTAGGAAAAGTACCATGGTGCACCATATCTACAACCAAACATAACAAAGAAACAAATTTAATATTCAAACTCAACCTTGACAATATCCGGAAATGCATTTCCGGAACATTTGCAACCTATTCTGGAGATGCATCTCCAGACTCAATGTTCAATTCTACTAGAAAAAGCCAGCTTAATGCAAATAACAAAGAATGGAAAA